GTCATTTCTGACCATAGCGGCTGGAAAGTCAGCTTCACACAGAAAAGCATTCATTTCACTTTCAAAAAGTTACCTCAAACCTGTGCCAAGGTAAAGGGACCCAATGTTCTGGCAAGTATGTGTCACTAGCCAGCGAGACAACTCCGGTCTGTGAGCTCAGCTGTGTGGTTCATGCTCTCATTTCAGTTACTGGACTGATGGTCATTTTCAGTGAGACCAAAAAAGTTACCTCTGAAGAAAGTACCGAGCAACGTCAGTGGAAGAGGAAATCTTTTAGGGGTGGGAATCACTAAAATTGAATAAATTAATGCTGTCTTACATGCAAGAGCTCAGTGCCATTGGCAGTTGCTACAGCATAGTGAATAACACCTGTGGAAAACTGGGATTCGATTCTTTACCTGGCAAGAACACCATGCTATACCAATAAGAATCCTTGGGCAAGACTCCAAACACAGCCGTCTACATCTGTAACATGACCAAACAGTCACCTTCACTGGATACAGTGGAGTTTGACAAAAGTTAAAAAATATATACTGTAAGAAAACTATCCTGTAGTACCCTCATAGTCTACTACAGGGCTAAATACATGGTAGAAGAATAATGCGGTGTCCTGGCAGAAGAGAACCAAAAAAGGCCACTGAAAAACAGCTGGAATTGCAGGCAAGATCACTTCTAGCCATGTAACTTCTCTTCATTGCAGATACTCAAGCCACACCTCAACACCATAAACCAAAATAAACACATACACAATCCTTAAATCAGCAAACAGCAACAATAACAGCAACAAATGTCCTTTTTGGCGAGGGGGGCAGAGCGTGCGGCACAGCTTTGCATACCACGCCTCTAAAGGCCCTTCTGCAACATGGAGCAAGTGTCAGTCACCATAGTAATTAACTAAATATTGATATTTGGGCCACCATGTTATTCTTTAACTTCTTCATGCAGTATATTTCACTCTTTCCTGACCAGCATCACTGCACATTCATTCATTCCATACTGCCCAGTGCTCCAACCGTCAACCTTCCATGAGTAGCCAGCTGCCCTGCAGACGCTGTTTAAGTCTGTGTGCACCCAAACCCTTACTTCAGACTTTCCTTTCCAAAATGTTCATTTATAGCAGCTAACCTCCATCCACTATTTTTAAAGAAGGAAACAAAGCAGAACAGAAGCTTCGTATCTGAGGCAACCGCCATAATGAAATACTACTTTAGCAACGCCTCTTAGCAACCAGACCGCATTGTGTAAAGGGTAACTGCAAAATAAGGAAATAAATAAATCTATAAATAAAATACCTAAAAACACTGAGAATAATAAATACAAGATGCAGCTTATATATAAGTACATATTACACTGGTTGATCCTAATAAGAAACTGGTAAACCTCATCTCAATAAAATTAATATTATTATTACTACATTTTACATGGTCTTAAAGAGGCTTTGACAGAAAATACAGCTTTAGACCATGTGCCCTCATACATAAGGCCGGATGAATCAAACACAGGAAATGAGAATCTCTGAAATGTGGTCCTATGAAAGGGAATCTTTGTGTACCCATTTTTATGGTCAGATTTAACCATTAACTGAATAAAACTGAACACTTTGGACCATGGAAGCCTTGGAAGACTCCACATGAATGCAGATCATTGTACCCAGAGAAACAGTGCAGTTAGACATCTGGACTGCACCAAAGCTGACCAAAATGTGTCCTTTAGACAAAAATCTTCTCGGTTTACAGAAACCAAACCATCGCTTTCCACACAAGTGTTAATTATGGAAATCAGAACTTGTGTCTGAAGGCAGTTACATCCCAGTTACATCATGAACAAACTACAGACAACAGTAAAATGTGAAAGTAAGGATGGAGAATTGGCAATATTTTACCTCACTGCTAGAAGGAGGAAGATAGCCAAGTTGTTCTCCATCACAGTCAAAGATCTGAAAGAGGAAGGAAAAAATACATCAACACTGACTCTCATAAAACTCTTAGTCACCCTCTGTCAGACAGAGGTGGCCAATAGCAACGCAAACACTGCTGCAGACAAACCGGCATTTTGTCCATAATTACAAACTGGGCACAGTGAGCCTCCTGCTTTTATACTATTTCAATGACAAGCAGAAGCCTTGAGGCTCGACTAGAAGTAATAAGCAGTGTGGGAGTGCGGAAATTTAGCTGGAAGAGCAGGCAAACTGGGTAGGGCGGATTCAGATTCAGATCTTAGTCATGCACAGGGAAACAGGTTGACTGTATCATGAAAGTTTTGCTTTACATATGAACCCCTGGTACCATAATAAAAATATAAAATATATTTTAGAATATATAATAAAATACAGGGAGAGTCACTCGAAAGGGGCCCCGAATATTCTGTAATAACTCTCACTAGGACGAAGCAATCTGAACAAAACAACGAGCAATGTGCTCCTCAGTATATTGAGCTTCGAACAAGCCGGGAAGCCCCTGCGTCAGAGCGAGGAGGTAGGCACTGGACAGCCGTCGCGACGTTTAACCTCCGTTTGCAACTTCTGGCTGCATGCCCCCGTACCCCTTCATGTGTTTGGCAGAAAACGGATATCACTCCAACATTGCATGTAATGCAATCGATTACACATACGTCAGGGTATGTAGCGGATTTTTTTGGTTCAGATCGCTTCATCCTAACGGGAGTTACAACCGAATATTCAGGTCCTCTTTCGAATGAATCTCCCCGTATAAGAATAGATTACTTTTACATGGGGAGGAGTGGTAACGTAATCACTACCGGTGTTTCTCTACAAATGCCAGACATTTCTATGCACTGCGCACCCCAACATCTGTAAAGATTCTTTCTTTACGTCTCTATAGAAACTTTTATCTTTTTACAAACCACAGAATTAACCCCAGGTTATATTAATCCTGTGTAAATTGCCATGTTGGTAGATATTCCATCATATCATCTATTGCGACACATTACATTAACTTAAGACAGCTAGGTAGGCAGTTAAGGTAGAAAAAACTATAGTAAAAGTCAATGTTTGGACATGTTTTTTTACTTGTGAGCGACTGAATGTACTGCATATTGAACATTTCCTGTGTGACGGCAGTTTGTAAATCAAGTAGCCATGCTCATCTCTGTAACTTATGACATTTCTTCTCCTCTGCTAATAGGTTAAAGGGTCCATATAATACTTTTTTCCCCCCTCCTGAGGTCCAGTTATGACATGTGTTGTTTTATGAACCAAAAACAGCCATAATTTATTTTTACATAATTTTTCAACCTCTCTTCATCCTGTAGAATTAAACAGGCTGTTTTTGTTACTGTGCCTTTAAGATTAATCTATGTAAACGACCTCTGTTCTAAATGACTGCGCTGTATTGTGCGTCATTCAAAAAGCAGTCTGGGCTAAACGCTCCTTGTAACTTCAGCATGAATGGGTGGAGCTAAACTGCTGTAGATGGGTGGATATATGTAAAGGCATTCATATATGAATCATAAAAACAGTAAACTCAAAATGGACTGTTTTTGCAGCGTAGTTTTCATATATGGTACTTTTTGAAACTTTACAAACATCAAACTCATTTATTCTTTCTGGTTTTCCATATGGGCCCTTTTGAACTACATTAGCACCCACCCCTGTGTAAAACGAAGTCCTTCCCAATAGTACTAAACTTGCAAAATAGTCAAAGTCAAGTAGAATTGTGATTTTCTAAATATATACAGAGACGTAAAAAAGATGATAAATACTGTGTACAAAAAAAAAATTTCCATATTGAAGAAGACTTTCATAATAGAAGTAGTAGGTCTCATATAGAACAGAGGAGCAGCTCACAGGGGAAAGGGACAGAGATGAAGACATGACAGGATCAGATGCTGCAGCTTGACCTGTTCTAACTAGCACTGAGGCACAATCACACCAATGAGTAATACTTTCTGCGACAAGTCCATGCATTTTATCAGGGAGGCTGGGATAACAGGTGACGCTGCGTTATGTGCTAACGGGGAGATGAATAAACTATGGTAATGGTGACAATTGAGAGGTTACTGAAAGAGTAATGGGCCTTTCCACCTTTCCAATGAGCCACCACCATTTCCTTTCACACATTTCTGGGCTCCCGCTGAACAAGAGAATAGAGATTTCAAGATATTGCTCAGGAGGACGTTCCTCGGCCCCTCTGTGAGAAATTAAACAGCCTTTTGATACTTTCTGACAGCACAAAAGAGAGGGAAAAAAGAGACACCTTGACTTGAGGGCTGATGCAAAAAGGCCTCCATATAAAGGTTGGCCTGTTTAATATTTAGCGCCTAGCGCAGGTCTCTTACACAAACCATCTGTTTGTCGCTGCAGGGCAGCATACAGCAGGCTGCAATTTACCACATATGGCTTTTAATAATTTATAACGCATTTCTCCCCCCTCCTTTCTCTCTCTCTCTCTCTCGCTCTCACCTCTGCCTTCTGCAGTGTGAAATGAATTTGGGACTCATTAGCCAAGCCGGCTGGATCTCCCATTACCCGACACATGTCAGGGAGGGACAGGGACACTCCCCAAACAGTGATGGGAGCCATTTTGTCAGAGTTAAGGCCACCTGGGATAGTTATAGAGCACGTGCATGGGGAAAAGGTTTCAGGCAGGGACAATGTGCTACAGTGAGCATAGAAAAAAAAAAAGGCAAGCCAGCACCTGGGTTACTATAACTGCATACATAAAACTAGCTGTTTTTTTATTCTTACCTGAGAAAGACCAGTCTGAGAACAGTAGGTAATGTCAATGCAATCCTTGTTACAAGAGATAAATAAAAGAGAAACAGATGCCCTTTTACCAACTTTCAGAGGAATTAGGTGCTTTACTGCAAACTGTTATGATGACGCAATTAATAAATTTATCAATTAAAATTCATGTTCTCAATTCATTTTTATTTAAAACAATAAACCAAGTACCACGTCATCATAAAGCCTTATTCAGCAGTCAAAAATTCACCACAAGGGGGAGCTATCTGCACTCAAGTTGTTTTGGTGAGCATCACAAGAAAAGAGTGCACCCTCATCAGCAGGATCTCACTAACACACGCATGTTTGTAATTACAAATTTAATGTGTATGAAACAAAAGGTTTAGTTTGACTTCATATAGGCTGAACAGCTCAGCAGACAGCTAACAGGCCATCAGGCTCCTGTGGTTATAAATTTTATATATATATATTATATATATATATATATATGAATTAGAATGAAATGTTTGCTGTTACAAAGTGTATATGATTACTCAACCATCAAAATAATGGCTAATTTTTTCTCAATTACTAATATAAATCAATGGTGACACTCCTACTTTACTGTCTAATTTGATCAAGCGAGGCAGTCAATAAAGACTGATTTAGACTGGCAGAGAATGTAAAGCACAGAGTGCTGGGAATTAAAACAATTTATACAGAATCAAACTCTCCAAGCATTAAATCTTTTTTAAATACACATTTCCTACAGCCAAAAACAGAACAAACAGACTAGCATGTGTTTCTCTGAGAAAAGGCGGAGATAGGAAATTGAACACCATCAATAAATAATGACTCTCTCTAGGTAATAATTACCAGGCTGACAGGATTTACAAAAGGTGCTTATTTGCACCTGCATGAGGAATTTCCCCAGCAACAGTGCACATAAAAACAGAACTTAACTCCACGTGCACAGAAACATTGTAAAAACACATGAAGAAACTGTTTGGATATAATATACCTGTTAAACTAATTTAAAGTGACGAGGGAAAACAAGTATTATACTCAGCACGGGACCAATGTGCATATGCTGCATGATTTCTTGCACGTTAAAACACTCCGTGTTGAGTTGTTTGTGTTACCTGTGAAGCCGAGGGTCTTTTCTCGTGGCTGCGTTTGGTGAGGCTGTCCAGGCCTTTGAGTGAGGAGAAGACTCCTTTCCTTCGGTGGCTCCGCTGGGACAGAGATAAGGAACGCTTTCTCAGCGTAGCTTCATCTCTAGAGCAGATCTGAGAGGCGAAGGGAAAAAATGAGGTTGATTAGCTGCCCGAAAACATGCTCGCAGATGTTTAGAAGCACCAAGCGTAAATGTGACATAAATGGTGTGACACAGGATTGCTCATGTGTTGGAGACACCTACCAGTGCATGGAAAGAAGATACGGAGAACATTCCCAGACGACCCAGAGCAGCCTTAGATGGACGGCTGGCTGTGGCCAGGAGGCTTTTCGGGTTGGGCAGCTCCCCACCCTGCAGGCTGGCCAGGTAACAGCGCATGCGGAACAGGTCTATGTTGAACCTCTCCAGATTCTGATCCCACTGCTGGATCTGTAAATAAACAAGAAGAGCAAGAGAATCAGAATCTTTTAACCCACAGAATTCGCCATCATCCCTAGCAACAGTATAACTTGATACTGATTATAATGACCTCCTCAACTGACAAGTCATTTCTTTCATTTCAGTCTCAGTTCATCCCTCCACTGTGATGGTGATTTGAAGACAAGTTTCATGGCTTCTCAGCAGTTATGTTAGCTGTTTTAGCTTAATTCTGAATTCCACAGCTAACAAAAAAATTAAAAATTATAAAACAGCCTTCACCCAAGCAGTTGCAGTCCTAACAACCTTCAAAATACATCACCAGAAGGGAGTTTTTCCTGTCTTCAAACTAGAAAATCTCATTATAGACAAGAGCCCAACACCAAAGTAGGATGCGAAGAAGCAAGTTACAGATGTAATGGTTACAATTTTCACTTTGGCCAGAATGTCCCGTTAACAGAGGAATTTCTCTGAGAGGAATACTGGAAGCCAGGCTTTTTCCAAGATACGGTTATGTTTAAGAGTGTGTGAGTGAGGGGAGAGATAAAGAATCGAGCACAGAGAGGTGTATCAGCACAGCTGTAATTGCTCTCAGATGTGAGAAGGTCATGATTGGGCTCGGTGAGGGGAGGCCACAGGGGTTACTGGTACTGACGCTGAGGGGGGCAGGGTGTGGATCTGCTGTCAACCCTTTAAAATCCCAGGCTTATTACACACTAAGGCTTATTATAACTACAGGGACTTCAATGCAAACTGGTTGAGCTATTCTTAGGTTATAGAAGTGTGTAATAAAACACTGGGCCTGCCAGTGAGCCCTGGCATTTAAAGGGTTAAAACCTACATTGCTATTATCCTCTGTAATAAAATGCATGGGGGGCAGAGGGAAAGGTATGCAACACCCTAGCATGCTACATCCCAGACTTCTCCCCCCCCCCTCAAACATGCAGTCTGCAAGGGAAAAAAAGTGCCAGAGCATTTTATAGTGAGTCAGCTCTGAGAACATTCTTATTATTTTCACTGAGAAAGGCAGGCAATGAAAACCATTACGGTTTTATGAAGTCTGCAGATAAAGATGAATCTCCACATAAAGCAGCAGGCTGTGATGTCTTCCTGCTAATACAAATATAAATCCACTTCACTTATTTAATATAAATAAATGACAGTATTCGAATGCAATTTCAAAAGCTTGTAGCTTCCATTACTGAGGCAATGGATAAAATGGGTTTAGTTTACTCTCTTAAAAAGGTACCAGAAAGGTATGATGCCATAGAAGAACCACTTTTTCTTCCCTAAAGAACCTTTTAATGGATAGTTCTTTAGTGAACCATTTTTGTTAATGAAATGTGTGTGAAGAAACTTTTTAAAGTTTAAAAAAACTCCTCACAATGCAGTAGTTCTGAGAAGAACCCTTAAACAGGTATAGAACCTTTATACTATATGAAGCTGGTATAGAACTTTTATATTATGTGAAGGTTCTTTAAACATTTAAAATGCTCTTCACACTCATACATCTATTTTGCAAAGAATGGTTCCTTAGGCAACCAAGAGCATCGCTCAAAGAACTGTTTGTGGTACCTTGTAGTAGTAAAATAAAGTATGTGTAGCACACAGAGCTAAAACCAGCGGTGTCCTTAAAAGGTGCTCCATTAAGTACCTCTTTCTGTTGACAAAACTTCTGACTAATCAACAGTGCATTTGTGACATAAGCGCTGCTTTTGCTTGTTGACTGGTGCTTGGCAAGGGTATCAGAAAGACTGATTGAGCCCAGGCCCATAGGTTTGGAGGAGATAGGCTTCATTAAGATTAATTCAAGCCGTATGGTACTTTAAATCCTATTAGCTCACACTCACTCACGTCACAAAGGAACCATTAAACCGAGTGGAAAGGGCTGGACAGAGATCAGGCACTGTAGGGTCAGCCTGTGGAATCTTCTGCACCCTCACCATCAGCGTTCACAGGCTTCACTGCTAGACATGCTTTGTGCTCCAAATGTTGCCTGATGTGCCTCAAATACTTTAACAGCAGATTAATATCTAAATGCATGTTGAGAAAGATATAAAACCATCACCAATATGGCTCTTGGTCTCTTCTGAGATTCTGTCATGTGCCTTTTTTCATGGGAACCACTAAACTTGGGGAGAAAAAAACACTTGGACATTGCTGCTGTCGGAGCTAAACCTTGCATCTCCTTTTTTGTCATTTTTCAGTTTTTTGACACAATTTGAAAAAGCCTGTTGCTCTTCACATTGTGTGTCATGATAAATGTACCAACATAAATGGCCCAAAATTACCTGGATAAAATTCTGGTTACATTGACTTACATTAAAAGTATAGTATGTTTTTTTCTTTCTCCTGTAAAGTTACCATTTTGGATTTACAGTTTTGCTCCGACAGCAGCGGTATGTTAGTTTGCCATTTTTTTGCTTTGAAATTTGTATTTATCTGAATCAAGCAAATATATGAAGTGTCTACTTAGAGCTCTGAAAAAAATCAAGACATTTTTAACAAAATAACAAAAATAGTATCAAACCTGAAAGCAAAACTGACCATTTTCAACACTAAGTACATGTCCCATCACATCATATCATATCATAGATCACACCATCTATCATATCTTCTGTCATGTCATATCGTATATATTCTTGTTTTCCCATAATCTTCGATCAAATTTGAGACTTTTGCCTCACCTCTACAATGTCTAATAAATTTTGATTACATCACCGTGCACAAGCAGGCAGGGAAAAAAAATAACCAATATATATTTCACCTTCCTCTCTCACTACCCCCACCCATCATCGAGAGAAAACATTCAGCTAGCTCAGAAAGCCTCCCTGATACTCTGTCTCACTCAATTTATAATTTACACTGACTTTAAAATCCTCAAAATAAACATAAAAAAATAAATAACTAAATCATTTTCATAGCTGTAGTAATTACATGCTGAATTAACCCTAAATACAAAAGATGAGTTACTGTGAATGAGTAAAATCCAACTTTAGTAATTCGATGTCATCATGTGACTCTGGGTCTGATGTCCCCCCTCAAACAAAAGCTGTTTGCTACACATTGGACCAATCTGGAACCAATGTGGTGCTGCTCAGTCACATCTCTAGTGCCAATAAAACTAACGTGGACTTTGCCTTGCGTGTGCAGATATCCACTTTAATTTGGCTCTGTGGTGCACACACATAATAGGCAGACATTTAACTGTATTAAATGCAAGATAATTATGACTCCATTTGGGGAGGACAAAGAAAGAGACTTCAAAAAAAAACAAAAAAACATCCAGCTGGCACTAATTTAAAGAAACAGGACTTCAAAGAGGTCGAGTCTCTCAGACTCTGCTAACCTCTTACCCTTTTCCAAATCCCTCATACACCGCCTGGCACCCAATAACTGGGGTAAAGACACCAGCTCACTGCCCTCTGACCCCTTTCTGACCCTTTCACCGGCCTTAGTTCCCATAGTGAATAACTGTGACTGTTAACAGGAAACAGCAGCACTGATATGAGAAAATATTTCAGCCTGTCGGATCTGACAAAAAGCTAAAACATCTAAAGTTTGTCTGATGAAAATGTAGTCTAATTCAGGGTATAATCCGATTCATAGCTATGAGGGACATTCTAGAGAAAGTGATGCATATAAAATATTTCCAAGGACCTCATACTAGTGTTCAAGCTATATGAAATATATACATAAAGTTTCTAAAAGGGCAGATGACAAGTACATGGGTTGAGAGGTCTGAAGAGAGGTCCCCTCCCACAAACTGAACTCAAATTGCTTTTTTTAATTCAAGCTAATTTAGTTAGGAATGTGTTCGAACCAGACCACATTCACATAATTGGTATGTGAGTCAAGATATCTATTAACTAACAGATCAACAGGAGAGGAGTTACCAGTAAATCCAACAAATGCACAGCCAAGATCGATCGCAGAGTAAACAAGCCAAGACAAATGTAAGCACTATCCTGCTCCTAAGCCAGTCAACTGACCAGAGACAAAGCAAATCACCTGCATGATACACATCAAAGCCAGTGACCCGTTCCATCTGATAAAAACAAACGCAAACAACACCTTCTCACCTGGTTTTCAATGGCCTTCCTGTTTTTGGAGTCACTGACAATAGACAGCTGGAGCTCAGCCATCTTCTTCATTTTACCATCCATGTCAATCTTCTGCAACAGACCACGGATCTGTCCACGGAGCAAACGCAGCGTGTCCTCTTTGCCATGACGCTTAGCGAACAGAGACGCACTGGCCGAGTGGATAGCTGTTACCCAGTTCTCCAAGTCTGTTTGACTAGAGGCCTGAAGGGAGCAAACAGAAAGAAAGGACGATTGGCAAAGATCTGGAACAGTTAGCCATATGTAACATTGCATTTATGGTATTCTCAATCAAGGATGACCGCAGAGGCAACAAAATAAACAACAGCCCTGAATCACTGGATGATTAAACCATATCTCCATTTAACCAAACAATGTGAGTATGTACTGCGTAATGTGGCATGTCCTTGAAACTGAGCAGAGAATCAGGCGGTGATAAACTGTTTCTTGAATCATTTCCACTTTCCTCTAAAGCCCTGCAAGAGTGTGGTCTGAGACACGTCACTAGAAATCGTCTGGCTGACTAAGCAGGAAAATGTTATCAAAACCAACCAGCTTGAGTGCATGAACAAGCTGTGGCTTCTACAGGGAGGGAGAGGAATCCACACTTAAAATAACTTCTGCTCCGTATTGCTGGACTGGAGCGTGAACAGCGCTTTTCATGACAGCGAGTGGACTGCTTGTTCTGCATGGACACAGTCCAAATGTTCAGCATGCTACTGGACAGATGTATTCATGCATGTAACTTACGCAGGACCTTGTAATGTGTGTAAAACTAGAATGGCTAGTTAAAGGGCTTTTTCTAGCATTTTATTCTTTTCTTTAAGGGCCACTTCTAACATTTGTGTGGTTTCGTGTTCTAAAAACAGTTGTATTTCACTTTTACAGGACCATTTTCCAATATCCCATAGATTTCAACAGACTGACATATGTAAATGAACTCTGTTCTGGTTGGCGGCCCTGTATTATGCCACATTCACAAAACAGTGTGGGCTGAAATAGCCCTTATAACATTAGTGCGAATGGGTGTGGCTAAACTGCTGTAGGCTGATCAGAATGATATACACAAATGGATTTGTTTTTGCCACATCATAAAAACCATTAATTCAGAACGGGCTGTTTCTGCAGCTTTGTTTTCATATATGGACCGACAAAGTGAATGTACATTGTGAGAATTTACCAGTGTTTACATGCTATGGTGAACTGCTATTAAAAAAAGAGCAATATTCAGTAGTCGATGCCAGCCCTTTAAGGTTGGGGGTAGGCGATATAGCAAAAGTATAACACCACGAAACTTCAGGGCACAATGAGTATTGAAATATTTTCTTTGACAGAAGTTTGATAAGTCAGAGCAGACAAAAACAGCACCAGTAGAGCCACATTAAAAAATAAATAATAATACTATAATATAATAATACTTATGCTGCACTGTACTAAATCCAGTTAAACAAGACTAATTCTGCTCTTTGTGTAACAAAACATGCAGTAGTGTTCCTTAAGTACAGGCAATACCCACAACATGTTCAGAAAAGCATGTTGTGACCTAATGTGACTATAATTTATCACGATAACGATACTGTCATATTGCCAACTCATGTCATTGAATCCTTAACACACCTTTAGATCTTCACATATGGTCTACTATGGATGTATATTATGCAGTTCTTGACCATTTCTACTCAGTCCACATTTTGACTCTAATTCAAAGTTATTGGGGCCCTGGTTACCTTGCTCAGGTATATTCTGAGCTGAAGCAGAACAGAAATGAGTACTGGCTGTTGGTCCTCTAAGACTGGTTTGAAGACCTGTGGTACAATTCATTTTTTATCAACCTCACATTGCCAGTTGTTTTGCCTCTACTACAGTAAAGAGACCAAGGCCTTTTAAACATTGATATCAAACCACTCTAAACGCGGTTACCTTTCTCCACTCAGGTGCCTATTTTTGGTATAATTCTCATTTTCATGCTGTTGACTGACCTGAAAGAGGTAGACATCGCCATAGGCATTGCTGAGGCAGAACACGTTCTCCTTCTTTGGATGTTCGGGAACAGCCTGAACTATGCCGTCCTCAGCCAGCAAAGCGTAGCTTGGTAACATTTCTTGCTCTGGAGAACTCTTTCCATAGGTCTCATAAAACAAGAGTGTACAGCCTGGAGAAAGAGAAGGGTATTAAAGTGTGCTCAGGTAATTAAGTCACATTTGCTAACATCCTGAAGGACATTATAATGTGGTCTTATAAAATAAATGGGACAGTGGAGACGCTTCCACAGTGCCTGTCTAAATGTAACTCTATTGTTAAGAGTGAATTCCACTCATCTTTCAAAATTTCGTATAATGAATTTGTTAAGATATAAACAAATTCATTCAGAGTGGTTAAATGTGAGACAGATCATAAAGAAACAGAGAAATAATTAGGAACATGCTTCCTGATGCTTGAGACACTGTTTTACAGTACTTTTGAGATGACCTTTTGGCCTAAAATGTATTTTAAAGCATATTTATAGCACATGCAGGGCACTACTAGGCAAAAAAACTTTTTTTTTTCCAGATTTCCAGATTTAACTCTATTTTACCATTATCAACATTACATATGATAAAAGAAGACATGTAACTTCACTGGTGGTTTTGGATACTAAATAAATGTAATTAAATACATATAATAAAGTGGCTATATTTGTGCTCTAGATGTTTGCATCCCTGGTTCCTCTCACCACTGTAGAGAAAGCAAAGTCTAAGTTTCTCTACAATGAACTATTTCACATCAAAACACTTTGAATGACTCTGTTGACATCTCAATAACTGAATTACGGAGAAACTTTTATGTGTGTAATTTCCCTTTAAAGATCAATTTCAATAAACAAAAAATACTTTTTGCGTTCCTTTGACTGAATTAAAAATGAAAGCATCAAAAATACTTCATTTTCTCGTCACATTTTGAGCAAAATGAAGGCCATTTTCACTCAAAACGTCAAATGATAATGAGAATTGTCCTGTAATTAAACAGTAATTTAAATTGAACTAAGTTATTTTGGTACTGGGAGCAACAGTGTGCCAACTTTGTTGCTTTTCACTAGTTTGTGTTTGAGCATCTATATTGTACATATATTTTTTTAAAATTTGCATGTTTTAATTTCTTGTTTTTACCTTTGAGAGTTACCCAGAATTGCTTCCACTTGCGTCGGGCCACTAGTTCCAGCTTGCGGTCCTTGTGCAGGGTGAGCAAAGGCTTGAACGACAACCATCCAGCTCGCCTGACCACACCCTGCTCTTTCTCAAACAACAAATCCAGCTGCTCAAGAGAGCCGAGTGTCTCCTGGCTACTACTCTCGGTCTCCTCCACAGAGTTATCCTCTCGCTCCTCTCCTCCACTTCCTGCCACCGTGTGGCCTGCCTCCAGCTCCCTCATGAAGTTCTCATAGATGTTCTGCCTCAGAGCGTCTGTGTCCAGGTGGAGAGCACCAGCGGAATCGCTCCGGCAGGGCAGCGCCTGAGACTGTGAGCGGCCCCGAGACTGACCCTTTGGGTACCACAGTAGACTGGAAACCTGAGAGGGAGAGCTGGTTTCAGCAGTGAGGCCATCAACACCACTGTCAAAACAATCGACGGGCTCTTTATATCTTGGCTCCTAGAAGAAAGGATGGAGGAGTAGTAGGTTAAAGTTGTATGTACAAAAACTACACTGCAATAAGATCAGGCATTAATGATGACTTTTTTCGCTTAAAAAATAGTCAAGCCGTTTAAGCTATAACAGTGTAATAAATATCAAATGTTTCATGAATAGTATAACTATACGAAAGTGATTGCTTCTATAAAAGCAAGTATATGACTTTTGCAGAAAACAACTATATCCTCATTAATGCGCTCAAAATAAAAATCCTTTTTCTCCCAATATGGAAAGATATAAGAAACTTCGAGTGTCTACTAATTATATCGAGTGCAGCTGACAACCCCAGCTGTGTAGTGTTCTTCACAAGATTATTCTCTTTCGTGGAAATGAAAGGCTACCTGCGCTCTATTACATTAGAGCATCGATTCTCCACTGCTCACATAGAGGAGTGCACTTCAAAAGCAACCTGGATACAAGGGCCCTTCCCTAGAACTCTTCTTTAAAGTCTACAGCTCTCCACCAGCTGCCTATAATTACAAGAGAGGGTTCAGATGCCCCTTTGGACGGCCCTGATTGACCCTGAAGCCACAGACAAGGTCTGTACACCAGGTGGAGGATAATGAAAGCAAGATTAAGTCCGAGTCATAATATTTCACACTGTTATGAGTTTCTGCAGGTTAGTAAAATGCTGTATAGTAATGAGACGAGTACCATTAGGGCAAATGTAGACACGAGCAGACATGATCTTGTAATACAAGGAAGGAAAATGAGGTTTGTTCACACTAGTCGAACACTAAAGAGTGTATTTGTATTTCTATGTCATATTTGATGCACAAAGTTGTTAGAACTGTTGAAGAAACTCAACATGCTGTTAAAAACGGTAGATCTTCATTCGAGTATATTTAAGAGCCACACCTGATGTCAAAGCTGTATATTCTATTCATTATTTTTCATTCTGTGCAGTGATAAGGCTAAATAACAGTATAATAGAGTAAATAATAGATTTATTTACTTAATTATTTTAAATCACTTTACTCCATAATTTAGTTATATCCAATTCCACTTACTATCTATATCTGCCTCTAATCACACAATGCTAAAAAGCTGGAAGGGTGAAGGCTAACACATGCTTTCTCCGAAACTGCTGCTAATGCAACATGATTGGACAGCTCAACACGCCTGAGGAGAATGCTAAATTCTTTTATGTTAGCTAACAGATGCTCACATTGGCTAGCACCACACTGAGTGATTGAGAGAGAGGGAGGAATATCCTGCCCCCCTCCAGAGAGATCAAAGCCAGTTATAACTGGACTCCTGGCCGCGGATGGCTGTGGCATCACTGGGGATCAAAGTCCTAATGGTAGGGCTACGCCACTCGGGAGCAGTAAATAACAGTGTAGTGATGGCACGATACTCATGCTGAAATCAAATCACAGTTTGCTATATATAAATATATATATATATATATATATATATATATATATATATATAAATATATATATATATATATATATATATATATATATATATATATATATATATATATATATATATATTTTTTTTTTTTTTACTAAATACTAATACTAAGCAGTAAAATCTGCTATTTACTTAAAATATTTCACTGTATTGCATCGGAGATGTAAAGATTAAAAAATAACACTGGTTAGACTCTGACCCTTAATGCTAAATCATACATGAGCAGGTTACAGTTGTAAAGGAAAAGTAATAGTATTAGGACACACATTTAATTGGACTTACACCTAGGGGTGAGTGATACGGCAAAAATATATCACATCACGATATTTCAAGACATTCTCACGATACATGATATTCAACAGGATATTTTGTTTTTGTTGGATTTAATAAGTTGAAACAGAATAAAAAGGACCTGTAGAGCCAAAAAAAAATACTGTCATAATGATTATAAACCTACAAGCACAATAAATTGTGTTTTTCAAACTGCACTGCACTCAATCCAATTAAACAGGCCTAATCATGCTCAGTCTGTAATGAAACATAGCTTGTCAGTGTTCTTTAAGTACTGATATCCAAAATACGCTCAATAAATTGTACTTTGAAAATTTATCACGATATCGATAAAGCATTGTCATATTGCCCACCCCTAATGATATCTAACTCTCTTTGTAGAGAAACTGGATCTAGAGACTTTACTACATAGGTGCTAATCTTTCCTCCAAAATACTAACACAACTCTGTTTATAAACACGCGCACAGACACTGAGTCACTCGCACAGACTGCCGTCCAGGACACGACTCGGTCCTGGTCATGCAACACTGGTGTCGTCTTACAGACCGAGCAAACTGGCTCCTTGTGAAAAGCATTCTGGTGCCAAGTGTCCCACATCACAAAACCTGAAGCAGAGAAATCTCACACATCTGAAGCAGAAATAGCACTTAACTGTTCGTGAGCAGGCTGAGAATATCAAAAACACTGAGAGCAAAATCAGCAGGACAAACAGAACTATGCAGAACTTCTTTTAGATGTGAAAATAAACCATTCAAGAATGACAGAAATATATTACAAATCTACACAGTTTCACACAACATAACATGTATCCAGCAGCAAAAAAAATATAGTCATGTAGCTGGTATTTAACTGTCCTGATAACAGATTCCACCAAAAAGCTGCACTGGCTTCCACACAAAGCTGTGCAGAAAACACAGTAGTACTATTCAGCTGTAAGGAACAGTGGTCCTGCATCCAGTCTTGTAGTACCCACCCAGAAATGCCCTCGGCCTCTGCTAAGAATTCCCCGACTTTTCATCCTTAAGAATGTTCAATCCGTGTTCAAGGCTCATCTCTACATCCACGGCAAACACGTCTACACTGGCGTGTCACGATTTTCATTTGGTAATGCCCTGTGGCTTCTCTCTCTCTCAGACAGCTGGCATAGTGAGGCAAGCAATATTGTTCACAACGTGAGACGGTGTTCCACTCCTGTCAAAACAATAGTGACCGCAGTGGCACCTTGCCCAGGCAGTGACAGCCAAGAACTCTTCGGTCCATCACTTCCTCTTTGGGCCTGTTCTAACTACAGGTGATCAGTGGCTAGAGGAGATTAATACTCCAGGAAGAAATACTGTCTTTATAGGTACTGCAGACACTAAGCGAGAGACCGTCACTGTGCATGGAATCTTAATAATCACTTACTGACCAGACTTTTGTAAACAAATAACTTGGCTCAATAACTGCTCTAAAAGAAGCTTCATTCTATGGAGTAATTTAGTGTTAGAGAAGCAGCTCTTCACATAATTATAACTCTCAAAACAGGGAACACCCTTGAATTTGACTTGTACCCAATATTTAATTTGCATGTTGCCAAATGTGAATGCACCCGCTGGCACAAGTGATTTGACTTGCCTTCTTATTTATGTGAACATGGCAGTTATTCTAAGGTACATATTCTATATCTCATGGACATCACAAGATTTAATGAATGGATATTCCGTTACCTGCAGGGAAGGTGGAGCACTGACATCGACAACAGCAATGACGACACCGACAGCAACTTAATACATGCAATGAAGACAGCCTCTTCACATGATTCAACAAGCTAACACTGGGGCCAACCAGTGTAACATTTAATGCTGAGGAGGTTTTTTTTTTTTTTTTAAATGAGATATGTTCTCCATAGTGGACGAAGAGCCCATTGCATTGCCAGAGAAATACTTTTTCACTGTTTTTAACCTAGCTAACTTCAGCTACAGTGGTTAACTCAGCAAAAAAGCTGAGGCAGAGCCAGCCACACTGCTGAAGCGGCATATACGAAGCCTTTGGCAACACGCCTCACATTAGGGCACTCTTGTTTCGTACAAGCATAACATAACACACTTTAGGTCTATACAAAAAATCACTATCATTATGGCGCTATGAGTTTCTGTGATACACACACTGATTAAAGGCTGAGATGACGTAATGCATCAAATTAACTCACGCAGCGCCAAAGTTAATTAGATTGGAAGAAGTTTATTTGGTTAAACGGTCAGTTACAAAGCTAAAGAAAATACTACCCTGAACTACTAGTGAACAGTGATGAAACGTGACTATGAAAAGTGACTATTCTCACTGTGTGCTGTGTGTAAAATGCAGTAGAGGTAGACTGTAGTAGACTCTGTGGTAAAATGTTACAACAAATCTGCATCACTATAAGGAGTTTTTTAAGGAATCAAAATATCTACTTATTAATTTTTGCAGGCCTATAAAGAAAATAAAAACAGACATATTTATTCAAGTTTATAGCCTGACAGGGAATCCTGACTGTTTTTAAACTGAAACATCTAATGGAACTTGCTCACGTTTCCTAGGTTACAAATTCTCCACAAGTGGGTGTCACAAGCAAGCAAACAGCTTTAGTGCTTCATAAGGAAAGTGCTTCACATCAGTGACACTGCATGCCCTTGTTAAGCCTTTACACTGTCACTGCACAGATATGTGCTTGTAGCTCTAATGCAAGTAGCAGTACCTACAGTATTTCATTTTTTTTTAACGAAATCTAGTCAGAGGCACATTATTTTAATAATAAATGTATTGCTTCTCATATCATCATTGTACTGTGTGTGTAAAAGTGTTTTCCATATCCAGACACTGGCACTTAGAACAGTAAACTGACTACTCAAGTTGGGTTTTCATCCTTAATTCTTACCTTGGATTTCTTCTTTTTTCTGGTCAGGCTTCCGGTCCAGTCACTGAGCCGCCTCATTTGGCTCCTAATGGACTCTCTCTTTCCAGTGTTGTCTGCGATTGGCTTGGACTTGCGGCAAGGTAACGTGAAGGAGGAGTACTGCTTGGCCCCTGGGCATTCCTCTTCAGCAGGTTCTTTCATCACAGACACAAAGGAGGATCTGTGCTTGAAAGCTGTGTCATTTGAAAACGGCAGATCCTTGGCAGTAGGAAAGGTGGCAGCCATGCTAGGGTCCCGGTAAAGATCAGATATTGTAATGCCAGGTAGCTGCTGATCAAAGAAATCCATGCGAACTGGTGAAAGAGTTTCTGAAACCCTGTTGGGAGAGGCACTGTCTTCATTCAATTCCCCACCAGTGCCCCAAGGCGAGTCATACCAGGAGCCTTCTGAGCTCAGTGAGCTGCCCTTGCTTGTTCTAGTGATGGAGCTAGCAGCCACTGGCGTAGCTTCACGATCAGACCCGTGGGTCACAGCAGACGGAGTGGGCAAGGAGTCCATTGTGGGGGAGAACTTTAGGAGCTGAACAGGCCCTGTATACTCATCTGGAAGCAAGGAGTTATTGGGGATGTTGTTGAACTCTACCCGTACGCTGCCATCACTCTTGATGACAACCCTGGGGCTGCTCTGCTCCTCCAGTTCCTCCAGCTTGGATTTCCTCTCTGGTGTCTTGTGTCCGTTAACAGCATGGCCATTACAAGCTCCTCTACTATAGGTGCTGTCTCCGTTTTCCCCAACAGCCTCATGGCAGCCATTCTCAGTTGGAAGCATCACATGTCCCCTGGATCTCAAATGTTCAGAAGAACCATTCCACTGACTAGTTCTCTTCACGTCTCTACCTTTAGTGACATAGTCGTAATGACGGGACATATAGGATTGATGGTTCTTGGGTTGGGACAAACATCCACGACCCATAGCTCTGGATTTGAAACCAGAAACTCCTGATCCCACCCTCCACCAACTGTGAGGTGGCAAAACTCCCTCTTTGGCAGAGCGAAACTTCAGTGAATAGGGCTTCTGTCTACCAGGGAGGACGAAGCTGTTGCTCCTGGACCCCTGAAGGCTGTACTGGCTCTCCGAGTTCCCCATTCCTGACCTGGGCGTACAACAGAGATCCCATCAGTAATATTCAAGGAATACAGTATTATAAATCCCTAGCTCTGCTCCTTGCTCAAATGAAAGTGACTTAGCTCTGATCTGTTATTAGTTACAGCCATGGCGAGGGCGATTAATTTCATGGGCAAATCGCAGGGTATGATAAATGATTTCATAACTCATGGTGTTTCGTGTAGGGATAAATTAAACATGACACTATCAGAGTATAGCCTGAGGAGACAGCTTCATCAGTAATGTTAGTGCAGGACCAATATGGCAGGCTATGAAGAAAATGACTTCCACAATCTTGCGGATCAACAGTTGGTCTTACCTGTGTCGTTAGAAGTACTACAGCCTTGTAGGTCGAAAACTCATCATCTCCTTCTGGGTCAGCTGGCGATAAGGCTCGGTGAAGCTCATCTGCGTGATATGAAAGGACATAATCGTCTTAGCTGTGCATAATTAGGCCTATTAAACAATCCTATCACTCTAATATTTGCAGTTACAAAGCATCAAATCTCCATTTGCTGATGTCCACATAGCAAAAAAACAATATTTTGGCATGTGAAAAACAACAAAACATACATGGAAGAGAAATAAGTATGCGAGAATTTAACACGTTAATCTAAAATACATGTTTTAGTTCAGTTTCATTTAAAGTTTAAAAGTCCCTTCAAGCTCATCTAAGTCAGAGGAAGTCTGAACTACATCATTGAAGCTTTACAGCGCAGCCTTAGTGACACTGGAGGTCATTTCTCCCTGAAGAAAAAGATTATTTTCCCATTCAAACTTCAATGTTACTTGCATATTTGCCCGTGAAGCAGACCTAAATGACGTCTTGCCAAATGGCTGGGAAAGTTTTTGAAAGTAGCCTTTATTTTATCCGGTGTTTATTTTTAAACGCACAAATTCCACAACTCTTTTTTTCCCCTTGGTCTGCACTGCCAAGCAAGTCTGGAGCAGGATGCCAAATAAAGCGGTGGCCAGAACGCACTCATGAAGCAGTGCTCACATCAAACTAAAGAAGCGCATGACCCTCCCATACACACATACCACACATGTCCACAGAGCTCCTGGATGACAAGTACTCACAGTTCGCAGCTTACATTCAAAATTCATGTGCCACTTGCAGAGGGGTACATGCTTGAAACAGAAAAGCTAATGAAGCTTTCATGTACATAGGCATGCGGCAAGATCAGAGGTAAGGTCTGAAGTCAAAAACATGATTCCAAGATCAATTGCTTTGGCTAGTAGTGGGTAGCATAAAAAAAAATAATAGTTTTGAGAAGGTTTTGATCTGACAACAATGGTACTCAAATAAAACCATTTGTGGTTTTGGTTTGAAGTAAATCTAATTAAGCAAATATCAGAAGTCATTCACACTGCCAGTAAGAGCCGGCCCTTGGCTTGATGTGGGAACAACACCTGAGACTGCCGCGTTACCTGTTGTGGTTGATCAAGTGAGGCAGCGCTGAAAGAAGTAAGTGCGGCAAGCAAGCTGGGGTCCGTGCAAGCCTAAATGCTAACCCCATAAGACCGGTGACCGGCAAAGCGGACTACCTCAGACTGCAACTGGCTGCACAGTCGGAGGCAAATCAACTGATGGCTGTGTTTTCATTTCACTGAAACTTGACTCACACATCCCTGACTCAGCCATTCAGCTCAACGAACTGACCATTAGCATTGTTGCTGTTTATATACTGCATCATCTGCTCTTATTTGTGGCATGCTGATCTAAAAGTTATGACAAATGAACCAGCATATCGCTCACTAGCAACTCTAATCTTATTTGCATAATTTCTTGTATAAGGTATCGTCTTGTTCATACTCTACTCCTGAAACAACAAAAGTTTAAATTCGTTCATGTCATGCGGGTCACACATACACATATGCAATCCTTAAGTCTTTGATCTTGGATCAAAAAAGAAATGGAAGAAGATAGGAAAAACAAGAAAAGGAATAAGAAAACTACTTCTGTCATGAAAATGTAAAAGAAAAAGCACAAGAAAGTAAGCAAAAAAGAAAGAAATAAACAAAAGATGTGTCCATGTGAATCTCTTATGGGCAACCATCAAAGCACCTTTCCTTCAAAAATGAAACTTCAATAGATCTTTAGGTGACTCCAGGCCACAACCTCACAAACACCTCAAGTGTGCAGACTGCACAAACAAGAAGAGGCGATCTGCATGTCAGTTTAAAGTCAAAGTGCTTTATCATGCTCACAGCACCTCGTTTAACCTCTCCCGCTTGCCTCTCTGTGGGAAAATTAGGGGTCTAGTTCCAAGGGCAGGATTAGTAGAACATCTGCTTCTCACACTGCCTCTCCCCAAAATCTTCCCCCAGCTGACCTCCCGACTCCCCGATTGGAATCAACGTCGACTCGCCCCGCTTCCACAGAACAGGTTGAGAGGGGAAATGCTGGGTCCATTCACATGCAGAGAGGCACAAAAACGCATTTCAAGCCAGACAAATGAGCCCACGGTGCAGGGGCAAGGCTGGAGTCAGCCTGAAGGAGCCAGCATAAAGGCCATCCTTTCACAATACTAGCACAAACACACAGAGTAACGCCGACACAGAGCAGCTATTCAGAAACAGGACATCTACAAGTGTGAAAAGATTTGGAGGCAAAGACAGACAGGGTCTTTCAGACTTCAGACACAAGCCTTCTGCCATGGGCTGGACACTATTGTGGTATACGAGCAAAAAGAGCTGCCTTCAGAACTTCACAGAAGGCCCCAGAGTACACCCCTGAGGAACTCCACGCTTTAGGCAGAGGTGCATGGTGCCTTCGCGTGACATCTCTCTGTGTGGAAAGGAATCTCTTACTCACAAGCTGCATTAAAAAAAGGTCTCCTCCACCCTCTTATGCAAAGCCATCATCACTGGAACCTTTTCTATTTTATTTTGTCGTCATAGAGATCAAAAACCTCCCTCCTCCCAAAGCGACCAAACTGATTTTAGAAATGACTTCAGTGATGTACTTAGTCACAGGCTGTGTAGAAACAGTGCAAACGTGTGTGTGTTTCTGTTCAGAGTTTCCTTAAAGCGAGTGCTCATTTGTCCTTGAGACTGAAGTCAGTGCTGCCCTATATATCTACTAAGGTTAACCCTTTTTATCACACTGCCACAACGCTAAATGACCCTTGTGAGGAAAACCCTCTCGACCTTCAGTGTACACTTGATGGAACACAATGGCTTGGCAAATCATTGACGAGGGAATTCTCTACTTTTGAGTACAGTGTAGGCGAAAAAAACATGCACAAAAGTGAAAACTAACATGTGTGGGGAGAGCATGCAAGCCTGGAACACAAGCCTTACATTAACAAAGTGTTCTATTAGCAGACCAAATTCAAATGGTTATTAATATTAATATGAAAATCACTGCACACTGCTGAGTAAACAGATTTTTCATTTCCTTTGAGACACTAAAATAATCTAATTCAGAAAGAGGGGAAATAATTAACCTTTCACAACGTTACACCCAAATCATTAAAGCTCTTCGCACAAACAAAAAGAGTGTTGTCAAGTGTTTCCCTGTTACATCACAGGACACTGTTATTATTAGCTATCCAGTTCCCAGAAGCACTTCCTCCGAAGTCATATTAGAGTCCAAGGAACGGAGCCTTATCACCTGACGGCAGCAGCCAGGAAGGGCTTTTAAATGGATAAAGAGAAGACAAAGGTCAGTTTCACTGAAAAGGGACATAATAGAGTAGCCACAGGAAGAGAAATGGCTGTGTGAAAAAGAGGGAGGAAGCTATTAGAATAAGTGAAATACTGACAACCACATAGATTACCACTTCCACCAAAAGAGAAAAAGAATTCATACTAGCAGGGATGCACCAATATGGGAATTGTGGGCCAATACACCTATCCAATATTTGTCATGTAAATGTCAGCCAATACCGATGCAGATACATAAACATTTGCAATCCACTTGGATTAGTATCACAGAGAAACATAATATCTATGTGGGTATGGTTACAAATGCAGTAAAATAGAACAAAATTACATTTTAGCACAGTAACTCAGCATTACCTAAATATTTTGCTCTTCCAGAGTAGATAAATACATTAGGGGTGGGCGCTTCGGCAAAAATACATCACTATACTTAAAGACTATCATGAAACATGATATACATATATTGCAGCATTCTGGTACATGGACACAATGTACTAGTAGAGCCACATTTGAAAAAACAGGTACAATGATGTTTATTCACCACTTCACATACTGCACTGCAGGAAATCCATTAATACAGGACTAACTGTGCTCTCTTTGTAATGAAGCATGCAGTTGTTCACTGTTCTTTAACTGTCCGATTCCTATTTTTTTAAAAAAGCAAACATCTGACATACCGAAATCATTGTGCGTCCCCCACTTACTAACTCACCATCTCTATAATAAAGTACAAAGTTCTTTACTTCACTGCTGAAACAGCTCGCTGTCTCTGCATGTCCTTTCATTCTTCTCATGAGAGATTCATTGCCCTGGCAGAGACTCAAAAGTGGCTGTGACAGCCAGTCTGATAGCAGCACACAAAGTGTCAGAATATTTCAGAGTAATAGCAACATCAATGCTCAGTTCAATAACTGCCAAGAGAGCATCTTCAGCCATTTCAACCATTGAGCAGGTGACTGTCCAACCACCGCTACTTCACAGCAACTAGACATTAACCCAGGCACAGCGAAAATCTCTCATCACGACAACTGAACACATTCCTGTGTTAATAATGATAATGAATATTTATGTAGCATCTATTAAAATCTCAAACAGTTTTATACAAAATAGATGTAAAACATTGGAAAGATAAAATACTTTAGTCTAAATGACAATAAAGACAGTAGAAAATGAGCCACAATACTCTGAGCATATCATCAATGTCCAAAGAAAAACAAGTATCTCCAAAATAGTAACTTTACAGGACAGGGCAAAAACGTTATTTGCTTTCAATGTAAGTTAATGGAAAGAGCTTTTATTCTAAGCGACATTGGAGCATTTCTATTGGTCGAATCATCAAGAACTTTTCACACAATGTAAAGGACAGCTGCCGAGCTCAAATGATGCTGAAAAAGTAAAAAAAAAAAAAATCACAAAAAAATGGATATACACGTTTTTCATTGGACAGTGACAATATGCTAGGCTAAAAATATGTTTTTTTAAGCTTCCTTTACAAAACACCTATCGAATTTGCTCTTCTTAATATGCAATTTTTAGGAGCTGGAAAAGAAAATGATCTTCCACCAACTGAGCTGTAAGTGATCATAGGAGGAGTCTGCAGTAAGCCTGCCTCAGCTGAGTGAAGTGGTCTGGACAGGCTATAGTTTTTCAACAGATCAGTAAGATATGCCAGAGTTAGGCCTTTAAGAGCTTGAAATGTCATAAAGACTTTGATACACTGAAGATTTTACACACTGCAC